GGGACAGGTGCTCACGGTCCTTTGGTGGCCTCTGAAAGGACCGACCCCGCCAGCTGGGGATGAACTGTTTCAAACGGCTGTTCTACAACTGTGACCTCACCTTTCTATTTTTCCGCTACTGCGATAATGGGCCCGATTTTTTTTGTGATTTTAGCCCTTGGGGTTGAAAGGCTCCCCTGGAAACGATGGCGCGCACTTTCAAAGAAAAAAATACTCGGCTTCAGGGCCAGGAAGTTCTAAACGCTACAAGCCGGCGAAAACTTATTCTAGAGAGAAATTGACCCCTTAACCCAGATTTCAAGAGAACCTATTAGAGTTACCCCTATTTTTAATTGGATTTCGATCGACCCCTCCGACACAGGGTAGTTTCGAAAACGTTTTGCAGAACAGCTTGACGTCTGAGCCAAGGGGATTATACTTATCAAGCAATCGCGGAATGCCTTTAAGTCAGCGCTTATCGTGTGGGTGGAGTCCGGCAATGAACTGTGACTTCCTCGTTGACGCCCACGCTACCACTGTTTGCGGTCTTCAGTAGGAAGATTGGGCCAATCGGTTGGGCACAGCGATAGGCCTGACCCTGCCCCCTCGATCATCAAGTGTGCCTCTACGAACACCCATCAGAACCACACCTATTCCTGCCGTTCATGGTAAAGGGTGAGTGTTCAAAAGCGATTCTGGAATTTTGACTAGACAGATGGCAGATGATCAAAATAAAACCACTTCTCGTCTTCAGTAACAGAATATTGTGGACTTTCACCAAACGGGGATTGTGAGGTATGGTGTGTAAGGGGAGAAGAGGTGAGTAAAATGTAACACGGAGAGACAGATGAAATGTGGGAGTAACCTGCTCCTGGTTCACTGCTCTCTTTGGATTCCGAAGCAATAGATGCTCTGCGCTTCTGTTCCATACGACGTTGGAATCGTTCTTGCACTTTGCTCAGATCTGCACAATCACGACACGTTAAGCTACAGACAGAAGCATTCAAGAAATCCTATTCACGAGTTCAGCCATAAGTTTCATGACATTTTCAACGATTCTCTGGTATCTGATTACTATGGCTGAGATGAGAACTAGGCCCCCATAACCTTTGGAGAGAGGGGGAAGAGCTCGAAGGATCCCTTGTGCAAGTTGGAATGACCGTCGTTCTTTGTTCACTCACACTAAAGTTCCTTTCGATGCAATAGCCCCTATCTTCAGTGAAATGATTCAATTTTTGCATAAGGGATAAATTCTGAATGCCCCTCCAAGGATATAAGTGCCTGAAACTCCTCTCATCATTTGGATCTCGTGTGGTATATCTGGAGAATGAGGTGCTCATTCCAAAAAATGTGGCCAAGAGCGAAAGTAGCGCAGTGAAGGGGGCGTGGCACTGTCATCAAAGAATCCGAAACTGCTCAATCAAAGCAAAGCTTCTGACCCCCCCCTTCCCCCGGTGATTACAAGTGTTCGTCTAGGAGTCAGCGATA